TGAAGTTTGTGCTGCAAGGTTAAGTAAGCCCAACAGGTCACCTCCGTCCAATCAAAAATGCGAGAGTCGCGTTTACGTTAAAGTAGTTTCCAGCAAGAAAAGTTAAGGAATCCGTTGACTATTGCTTGATTTAATTTATTTGCAAGGCTCTTTTTTCTTACGCATTCAAATGTGTTAGCGGAAAAGAAATTAAATTAAAGCAAAACACTTAACCACCATGTGATCAAAATTGTGATGGCATGTCTTCGGATCATCCTCAGAGATGTTTCCCAGATCGTCGCGTCCATAGCCCATTGTGTAGCTTTAGTGCGACGTCAATGAACAACAACACCAATTCCTCTTGGATTTTCAGCTGCATAGCGCGTTTTTCCACTGGAAGTTTTGTTTTTAATTGCTTAAATTACTGGGCTATGACGCTACAAATTGAGGTCTTGAGGAGAAGAGGTATTGATGGTAAGTTAACTATTCTTTGAAAGTATTTTTGCTTCATTATTTTATTTCTGCTCCAATCATTGAACATGAACTACGTGAGTCTATTTTCCGCAAGTCAAGAATTTAGAATTTAATTGGTATCAGTTCTCGTTAAATTGTTCGACCCTAAAGAGTTCGACTTCGCATGCAGGTCTTCGGGCTACGAAAGCGGAGGAGTCATCTCCTATGCAGAGGATCAAAATTGTGATAACATGTTTTCTGAGCATCCTTGGGAATATTTGCCAGACCGTCGCCAATAGCACACTCTCCTCCAGATCAAAAGTTTGGGGCTGTCCGCTGCTACAGTAGCAAGCGAGAGCACAATTCGAATGGGGGTTGCAATGGAGGAATGAAGAAGTCGAATGATTTATTCATGTTGACCTATGCCGAGATCAAGACAAAAATATTCACCCCACACCCCATAGATCCACACCCCTATTCGAAGGGGTGTGGGGTGAATATTCCCGCCACAACGCGAGTCTGTTGTCTGGAGGATTTCTTCTGAAAAGACGAAATTTAACTGGGGTCTCTATCTTTTAAGGAATTGGTAACTAATTTTAAACCATAGTTTCTACTACAGAATGGCAACAAGGAAATGATAACGTCGGATCAATGGGCTTTTCGCATTGTGATTGGCTGTTGACTATCACTCATGGTTGCAAGAATTTGGGAAGTTATCGCGTTTATTGTGAATTAAAATAAAAATTTCAATAATTTTGTGCACGCCTGTCTGTGTTCTCGCGTAATCTCGTACTTGGTGTGATGAAACAATTGGTTCATTGATGGATTGTGTTTACATTTATTTCGTAAACAGCCACTGGAAAAGAGGAGATTTGTGTTTAAAAAAGAAATTAGGCGAAAATGTTTTCGAATTTTTAGATATTTATAAATGTAACAATAAAAATGAATGTTTTCTTTGCTATGTTTATTATTTGTTTTTAAATAAAAGTATGTCATTTTGATATTAAGAGTATGTTAACGGGTGCTCTTAATTACTTTTAAATTAAGTATTCTCTTTTAAAAGCTTAGCTGCAATATTTATATAATTTTCTTACGTTCTGTTGTAAGGAAAAGAAAATTCGGATCTAAATTAAAAGAATAATTATGCCATGTAATGTCTAATCATCCTATGCATATTTCCTAACATTTGTACTTAATTATTAAGCATTATAATTGTAACATNTCTGAAAATTCAGTCGTTGAATTAATTTGAATTGTTATTTTTATGTTGCGCATTGTTAGAAAGGTAGACACTAAGTGATTCAGTTTTATTTTACTCAATGTATATATATATTTGTAGTTTTGATATTACTGATTTATTTTGCATTTAATTGAAAAGAGCTATAAACCTGTTTGTTAGTTAGCTATTGGAATTTTTTTTTTTTTTAAAATACAGATCATTGAAACAATTTAAAGTTCTTCATTAGTGTGAATTTTAATATTTAGTGATAAAAAGCTCATATTAGTAAAATTAATAACAACGAAAGGCGATGAACAAAGTCTTGACAGTGAAAAAGCTCTTTTAATGTCATTATACTATTGACTCCTTCACCAAATTTTTATAATTTTTTCTAATTGGAACTATGAATCTTACTGAAATCTAGAGAATATTGACCTCTGCTGAATGTCAACTATCACATTGTTTTATATATTTGATATTAATTTGTTTATTGATATTTTAATATATATTCAAAATTTTAATATCTGAATAGATCTGATATCTGATTTGGAAAAACTCTGAATGCCAGGCAAGACAAAAGTATGCCAGCCAGTGGCATAAAAAATATCAGTGTAGGAAATACCAAACAAAAGTAGTTGTCAAATTAATATTAAATATGATCTAGAATATATTTCAGACATTTATCAAAGCAACAATGTAATTATTGATATTCACTAGTCAAAGCTGGACAACCACTAATTTCGGTCTTTCACAATTACATATGCAGTACTCGTGTAATCTAATAAAAATGCACAATAAAAATATCAATTTTTGGAATTTTTACTTTTTATAATTTTAATAGTTCTAATTTTCTGTTAAAAGTAGGATAATAAGAATTATCTATCCTTTTGTGAACTGGTATTTAACCGCACTTTTTAAATTGTTTTTAGTGTTGCATTTTGTTGGCATTATAAGCTAAAACCGTTGAGTTCACCTTGTAGAACAATTGAATGGTTGTGTCAGAAAACAGGTCTTCTCCAATAGATTTCCTATTAAGATTACCTGCTTCCTCGTCTGTCAATTCAATTGGAATATTTATAAAAGTGTTCTGTATTGTTTACCAAAAACTTCTCTCAAAAAAATATCTAAGCTTTCTGTAAACAATCATGAGAATAATATAAAATCATGATGCTGAACATTCAATTTAAAAAATAATTGAAAAGCAATTGTTGGATTCCTGGTCCATAATCATAGTTTAATCATAACCAGACTAGTCTTTAACCAAAATGAAAAGCATATTGGTTGTTCTCATATCGTAAATTTCTGAAGTTAAACTGATTATTTCTGCTATTTGTATATATTATTTCATCGACTTATTCTAATTTAACTGATGTTTGTCTACACCATAAGTTTCATTTATATGACAATTAAGATCTGACTCATTAAGCAGTATATCTTAGCTTATAATTTTTTTTCTTTTTCTTCTATGATTATTGATTTTTGTTTATGCTCAGTCTTCATTCATGCAAAGTTTATGTTCACCTTGTTATTATAATCACCATAACTTAAATCCTTTTATGTTCTGCAATGAGATCCAAGTCATAATTAGCCTTGAAAACTCGTTTTTTACAAAGGAAAGTTTGACTTCATATGCTTAGGATAACCTTATGCATAATTAAGTGCCATAGTTTGGAATACTCCGATGTTGAAACAAGTCCAGCTTCTCTAAAGCTGTTGAATATTTTTTTTTTTTTTTTAAATTCTTTTCTCACCTGCAATGAATTACTATTGACTTTCTGCAAGACACATTAAATGTATTTTATTTAAACATTTAACTGTTTATCTGAATTTAGAGCCTGTCATTTATATTTATTTTTACAGAGTGTTTTGTAATAACCGCCTTTAATATATGTTTTCAGGATCCTCTATGATTAAAAAGTATGCACATTGAGAGTCTCAAAATATTAAATGAAGATAATAGGAAAACGTTTTTAAAATCTAATAAATAACTACTGAGGTAGAGAGCGGAAAACATAGCCATAGTTACATCAGGCATTAAAACTGGTTTTAAAATTTTTTATTCTTTCTGGCTAGTAATTCAATAAATTGCGACAGCGTTTTTGTTTCTTTCTCAATTAAGCAACACTTTGCAGCACATAATGTGCATACTTTTTTATATAAAGGATTCTAAAAATATATGTTAAGGGTGATGATTAGGAAAAACTCTGTGTGTATTTTTTTTTTTTTAATTTTCTAAATCGTTCATGAAAAAGTTTTAGTCAATTTTTAAGCAATTTTCCTATATGCAGCTGGTTTAAAATCTATTTCTTACTTATTTACCTATTGTTAAGTTATGTTATATTTATCAGTTTGTTACAAAGTGGTTATAGCACATCAAAAAAAAATTTTTTTTCAAAGCAATTTTTTTTCTTGTAAGCTGGTGATCTATGATCCATCGAACAATATGTGTTATGGACTGAGATTTGTGCCTGCCATATATATATATATATATTAGATATGAAAATGCACAGAGTTGGATTTTCGTCTTATTGTTTTTATGAATATTAATACTGAATATGTGTGTTATTTTTATTTGTTAAAAGTATTTGTATTATCGTTATGTTTGAAATTTCAACTCAGATATAATAAATAAAACTTTTTTTTATAAACAATAATGTCTTGTTTATTTCTATATTTTTATGCTGTTAAAAAAAAGTTAAGAGCTCATCTCTTTCAAAAGACATAAAGGGGAATATTGTAGTGATAGAAAGTGTATCTCCTATTTTATTACGAAAGTGATACAATTTGTATTTTTTGTTTTAATTGTGACAAGAAAATTACTGATTTACCCATAAGCAGAGCTGGATTGCCATGGCCTGGGGCCCCCTTAGAATGGATTTTTTTAAATTAAATTTTAAAAATTTAAGAAAAACAATGATTTTTCAGAATGTTATGATTATATTTTAGATCTAATTTAATAAAATAAAGTAAAATTTAATTTATTATTTATTTTAAATAAGCTTTCTTAAATGAAAAGATATATAAATACTTTTATATTTGAACAAATAAAAAATATACGGAAAAAAAAATTTAATGTAAGGGCCCCAAAAATTTTAATGGTCTAGTGACCCTCATATGCTTAATCTGTGTGAGGAATTAATTATGGACCATGTCAACCTTCATCTATCAAAAGGTACCTCATGATAGAATGAAGTTAACATGTCTTATATACTAGAGATTTGGTATTTAATATTTATAGTGGTAGTTACACCACAAATCCGGCACTGGTTGATCCCCTTCAGTGATGATGTTTTTAGTTTCTGCCCCGAAGTTAGCCGCAGCCGGGAGGGTTGGTGTCAAAACTTTGCAATAATTTTTGAGTAGATCATGATACGGAAATCTTCCCTATTACAGAGAAGTATACATACATTTCTATAATTTTTTCTTCTGGCCCTTGCATTGTTCCTAAGACAGTTCCACTAGAAGTATTCATACACCATCCTTTTAAACCTAGCTGCTTCCCTTTTTCTCTCGTAAACTAAAAGAACAAACACTATTTGTAATGTTACAAAAAAATTAATGAATCCAAATTTCGAAACACAATAAAAATTAACTAATAATGCAAAAAATTATTAACTATATAGAACTGTTTACCTTTCTGAAAAATACACCTGAAAAAAAGGACAAAAAGTAGTATTAGAAAAGGTATAAAATATAATCTTAGACACCGGCAGGAAGAAATAGAGTGTTAAAATTTTTAGATTACCTTGTACTCGACCAAAAACTTCAAAATCTACCGACTGCAACATTCTTAAAACAGTAGTTTTCATTTCATTTTTTGTTGACCTCGATGAAGAGTACGACTGCTGCCATGCAAATAGTTTGGTTGAANCATTGCAATTCTTATTTACGAGATTTAAAAATCTATTATCGCGATTTGTATTTACGCATTTTTAAAATCTATGTACCTATTCGTATTCACGCGAGTTTAAAATCCAATGTCGTGATTCGTTTTTGCGGTTGTAACATCAAACATCGATTTTCGTATTTACACGTGATTTAAAAATTTGGCTTTCGATTCGTATTCACGCGATTTAGAAATTATGCATCGTGATTCGTATTTACGCGATCTGAAAATTACGCATCATGATTTGTATTTTTACATTTTTGAAGTCCAATATTGAGTTTCAAATTCACGTGATTTCAAAATTCAATATCGTGATTCATATTCACGCGATTTTAAAATCCAAGATCGCTATTTGTATTCTCTGGATTTTAAAATTCTTCATCGCGATTCTTGTAAGAAGTAAGTTTTTTTCTTGAATTAGTAACTATAAGACAGTTTTTCTATCAACGATTATTGGTATATATAGGCATTACAACATCAGCGAAACTGTATGAGAATATGTTACTGATATTTTTGCTATAAATCACGTAAGATTTACTCGCGTTAAAATTCAGCTTTTTTGCCTTTTGGCCAATCTCATCCCTGTACGTCGCACTAGAGCAGCTCAATTAGCTATTGGCGACGGTCTGGGAAACATCCCTGAGGATGATCCGAAGACATGCCATTACAATTTTGATCCTCTGCAGAGAGAATGGCACCCCAGCTTCGGTAACCCAACGACCTGCACGCGAAGTCTAGCACTTTACGGTAGAACAGTCTAACAGGGACCAATACCGCACACCCTCGGTCCCTACGCAGATTGATCAAAGTGATCACCCACCCGCACACTAACCGCAAAAAATGGAGTTTCAAAGTAAAGAGATATCTTCACTCTTAATGTAGATATAAATTGTTAAAAATAATAAATTTTGAAATGGTCCGGAGTTTGTGCTGCAAGGTTAAGTAAGCCCAACAGGTCACCTCCACCCAATTAAAAATGCGAGTGTCGTGTTTACGTTAAAGTAGTTTTCAACAAGAAAAGTTAAGGAATCCGTTGACTATTGCTTGATTTAATTTATTTGCAAGGCTCTTTTTCCTTACGCATTCAAATGTGTTAGCGGAAAAGAAAGTGTGAGAATAAATAACGAATTTTAATTAAAGCAAAACACTTAACCACCATGTAATGTTTTATGAATCATTTGGAAATGTGTTACGCAGAACAGTGGTGGCTCAGGGGATAGAATGTTGGCCTTCCAATGAGGTGAACCGAGTTCAAATCCTATGGATAGCTGGTCGGTACGAATTCCTCACCCGGCTTGCACCGACCACAGTGCTGACGTAAAGAATCCTCGGTGATAGACGGCAGCCAGGCTAACAGTGGGAGGTTTTCCTCTCCATGTAACGCAAATGCTGGTTAATTTCATGAAATGAAATGGAAATTATGAAGAATTTTTTTTCAATGTTTCTTTTATTTCAACTCCTCTTGGGTGCTTGACTTCGCGTGCAGGTCGTCGGGCTACTGAAGCGGGGGTGCCATCCCCTCTGCAGAGGATCAAAATTGTGATGGCATGTCTTCGGATCATCCTCAGAGATGTTTCCCAGACAGTCGCCAATAGCCCATTGTGCAGCTCTAGTGCGACGTAAATGAACAACAACAATTCCTTTCGGATTTTCAGCTGCATAGCGCGTTTTTCCACTGGAATTTTTGTTTTTAATTGCTTTAATTACTAGGCTATGACGACGCTACAAATAACAAATTGAAATCTTGAGGAGAAGAGGTATTGACGGTAAGTTAACTATTCTTTGAAAGTATTTTTGCTTCATTATTTTATTTCTGCGCCAATCATTGAACATGAACTACGTGAGTCTATTTTCCGCAAATCAAGAATTTAGAATTTAACTGGTATCGGTTCTCGTTAAATTGTTCGACCCTAAAGAGTTTGACTTCGCATGCAGGTCATCGGGCTACGAAAGCGGAAGAGTCATCTCCTTACTCGTTGGTCTTCTCCTATGCAGAGGATCAAGATTGTGATGGCATGTTTTCTGAGCATCCTCGGGAATATTTGCCGGACCGCCGCCAATAGCACACTCTCCTCCAGATTAAAACTTTGGGGCTGTCCGCTGCTACGGTAGCAAGCGAGAGCACATTTCGAATGGGGGTTGCAATGGAGGAATGAAGGTGTCGAATGATTTACTCATGTTGACCTATGCCGCCACAACGCGAGACTGTTGTCTGGAGGATTTCTTCCGAAAGGCGAAATTTAACTGCACTATTTTTATTGAAAAAACAAAGTAAGCTAGAAGCTTAAATGATATGTAGTATACAATTTAGTGAGCTATAAGCTAAAATAACTCTTAGGATATAGTCTTTACAACCTGTCATCCTACCCATCCTGAGAATAAACAAATTGAAGAAAATTGGCGCGAGTGTTTAGAAGTGAAATATGTCTGTTGAACATTATAGCTTTAATTTTCAAGAGGAAATTTATGTTTTTATGATTGATATTTTCTTGCTTTTAAATATTTAATGAAAATTACCCCTTTATTATAAAATGGATTCGTATTTTGATATTGAAGCTGTTAATAATTTGGGGACTTTGAATTCTTTTGGGGCTTCATTTACTTCTCTTAAATTAGTTACACACCCTCATTTTCACTCAAATAAAATTTTATATGTTTTCTTCTCCGATGCGAGCCAGATTACTTGCTATAAACTTTCTGATAAAAGGCCAATTTTGAGTTCGGAACATGGTTCGAAAGAATATATTCAAAATTCATCACTATCTTTACGTTTTCAGGTAACTATTTTTTATTAATTTTTTTGAAATCTATTTTTTTAAAATTTGGGTAGTTTATTTCGAATTTCTTCTCCGATTTTAATAATATTTTTTTAAACTAAAGACTGCGTTTTTGTTATCTGATCTAATTTATCAGTGTTTGTTATAATAATACTCCCATGGGTAAATAATTTTCGCATTGGTGCCTGCTTCTAAATAATCGCGAAGTCTTAGTTACGGGATTACTTTGTTAATTCTTCCATTTGTCATTGTCTTCTTATTCTAATATATAGCACACAGTGGTAATTTTTATCTTTGGAAGTCATTTTATTTTCTAGTATAATTAAGCAGTTTAAGCACTTTAGTTTGCTATCTGTATTGTATTACTATATCTTAGCTTCTGAATTAATTCTCCTTTTCATTTTAAAAGTAAGTAAATAAAAGAATTTTCAGATTATTTAATAATACTGACAACATTGTGGTGTTAGTGAGAATTTTTAAAATTTGACTTAGCCTGTTAATACATAATGATTTCATCTTTAAAAGTCACCAAATCCACTTTAATGAAGCTATTCAACTGTTTAGCGTGTTTTGATTTCTATATATTCGGCTTTTTGTAAAAGTGTTTACATAAACATAACCTTAATGATTTAACGCAATAATTATTAATTTGTTTTATCTTTTTTTCTTTTTATTATTAAATCATAACTTGATTCATTAATTACAGCTTTGTGTTTTGTTATCTCATGTTTCAAAGACCGTCTCCAATATTGTGCAGCTCTAGTGAGATTCAAATAAAGTACCTACCTACCTGTCATTTCATCTGTTAACTGTAATTTTAACAGAATTATCTTTATATCTTTTCTGTTAGTTAATTGTAATTTTGGATTTAAAAAGTCACAATTGTGTGACTATTACTTTAGTTATGATGTGCCTTGAGTTCTTTAACATTGATATTTAATGTTTGTTAAATTTATTCATTTATTTATTATTAAATTGTGGAAAAAATATTCACACTCATAATTTTTTTTTCTTCCTGTTGTAGCAAACATTACGTTTTTGTGTACCCCTTTTGGATATAGCTTCAACTAATGATGATGTCTGGGCTATAGGAAATAACTGCCTTTTGTCTATTAGGTAAAAATTCAGATTTAAATGTTTGTTTTAAAAATTAAATTGTTCCTCACTGAATGTTTTTTTTTTTGTTGTTGATTAATGGCGGGCACTTGGGTCTATTTCCCATTGGCCTCAGAATTGCTACTCTCTTATCATTACCCAGTGAGCACCTATGGCTAAGCCACGGCGGTGGAGTAGCGTCGCCCACGTCATACAACCACAAACCCGTTTATAGGGCGGGTTACATTTACACAGAAGAAAGGACATAGAACACACAGAGAGAGAAAGAAACATCTATGCCCTGAGCGCAATTCAAACCCGCAACTATCAGCTCCGCAGTCAGGCACGCTAACCACTTGGCCACCTGGTCGGCCATGGGAATATATTTCATTTGACAATGCATAGGTGTATTCAGATC